GGCGACTTGGGATTCATCTATGTGTCATTTCACTTCTGACAAATGTCATTCATACGACTGTTTCAGGAAAAATAATTAAGATGAACTAAAATAGTGTGAAAATTTGCCATTCAGTGTTTTGCAAAATATAATTAATTAAAAATAAATAAATGTACTAAAATATTATATAAATAGATAAATATAGTTTTTGTACTGCTTCTCTTTTTTCCCCTCTATTGTTCACTTGTCACTTGATCTGTGAACAAAAACATTTAGTAGCGGCCCCCTAACCATTGTCCATTGTCTATTATGTATTTTTCCATATTGCTTCATGAAGTTCAGGATTTTGGTCGATTGACCAAAATTCAGACCGCGTTATCATTGAAACCAAATTCACGCGTCCAGTAGGAACATGGATCTCACAAAGACAAAACACACAACAACAAAAAAGTATCTTTCTCTACTGGTATGTCATGTAGTTTAATGAGTTTATACTTACTTTCTGACTATTAACTTCACAATGTATTAACATATGTTTAACCCATATGGTGAGATTAATTGAAGAATGCAAATATCCATCTTCCACAGACATTAGACACTTTATTGATATTTGTTAATAATAACATAAATAGTGATTGGGTAATTAAGTTCAGGTATAGGCTGACTTGAAGTAAAATAACTTTATTTTGTATGTACGTGATGAAGAATGTAGCAACAATTGAACTCAAGTTTGTATGATAACAAATTGGAGAGAGATTCATCCATTTGTTTGGATTTAAAAAAAAAAAATGCTCTAAAGTGGGACTATCACCATGAAAACATGGGGAACCCGCAGGCATATTTCATTTTTAAAAATCTTTAGTTATTCCACAGTCTGATATTAGATAAACATTTCAACAGGCAAGAAAGGAAGAATATAAAGGAATGCATATTGTGTGAAATCAATAAAAGAGTAACTGGTCGGACTATAAAAATGTTAAATAAAACCATTTGCAAACATTCAGATTTGCTATTAAATAAAGAAGTGTACTTTGAGTGAAACAGTAATTTGTAAGGAAGAGTATTATAGAGAATGTAACTGAAATGATAAACCCTGGTATGTAGCTTCACAGGCTAGGTTAATGTAGTAGGGTAAATGACTGGAGCTATGAGGGGGTAGGTTTTATCAAGGGAGCTAAGATAGCTGGGGATGACCCGGTCTTGGCCTACTTAGGCCCATAGATCATGGCCCATATATAGAACATGGAAGGTGGAGCAGCAAGAAGAATAAAAAAATTAAAAACATTAAAAATAGGAAAAGTCCCAACAAAAATAAAAATTACAGAGTTAGATAATCGCCGTGTTTGTTGCAACATGGGTTGCTGGAATAAATAGGACAACTTTAGCAGGATTCCATCCAGTAGTAGTAGGTTGGCAGATGAGGCCAAGGTCTAATGTAGACAGGAAATAATCCATTTCTAAGGCATTGGACCCTTTGTGCTCTACGTCCTTGTTCTGGATAATAAATAAGCAAGAAGATCCCCATCTGTATTTAAGGCCTATGGTAGTGAAGATAGATGTTATAGGTCATAGAGTCTTCCTCCATTGCAGAGTTGTGCAGGAGAGATCAGAGAAAAAGGTAAGGCGTAGCTCTTCAATGCAGTACGCCGTCTTTTCCCTAGTTGCATTCAGGAAAGCAGCCTTATTCTGCCCATTCTGGAATTATACTGTCCCCTTAGTCAGCCCTTGTCCCCTTGCTCAGCCTCTGTCCCCTTGCTCAGCCTCTGTCCCTTTCTTGTCCTTTCCTCAGCCCCTGCTCCCCTTCCTCCCTCAGCCCCTACCCCCTTTCCTCAGCCCCTGTCCCTTTCCTCAGCCCCATTCCCCATTCCTCAACCCCTATCCCCCTTCCTCAACCCCTATCCCCCTTCCTCAGACCCTGTCCCCCTTCCTCAGACCCTGTCCCCCCCCTCAGTTCCTGCCCCCTTCCTCAGCCCCATGTTCCCCACCACAGCCCCATAACATCCCCACTACAGCTCCTCTCCCCCAATTGCAACCCATATCACCCACACCACAGCCCCTTTCCCAAATTGTAGCCATCAACCTACATCAGCCCCTTCCCCTCCCCTTCTCAGCCTCTGTCCCCTCCCTCCCCCCCCCTGTCCCCCTTCCTCAGCCCTGTCACCCTTCCTCAGCCCCTGTCACCTTAGTCAGCCCCTGTCCCCCCTCCTCAGCTCTGTCTCCTTAGTCAGCCCCTGTCCCCCCTCCTCAGCCCTGTCCCCTTAGTCAGCCCTTGTCCCCTTGCTCAGCCTCTGTCCCTTTCTTCAGCCCCTGTCCCTTCCTCAACCCCTATCCCCCTTCCTCAGCCCCTGTCCCCCCTCTCAGCTCCTGCCCCCTTCCTCAGCCCCATGCTCCCACCACAGCCCCATACCATCCCCACTACAGCTCCTCTCCCCCAATTGCAACCCATATCACCCACACCACAGCCCCTTTCCCAAATTGTAGCCATCAACCTACTTCAGCCCCTGTCCCCCCCTACATTTCCTAAACCCCCAACTACAGCTTATAACCTCCACTTCAGCCCCTGTCCCCTTACTCAGCCCCTGTCTACTGGTTTTAAAAGTGTAAAGTTTGGGTGTAGGTGTGTGTATGAGTATGTGTGTGTGTGTCAGTATGTCTGTGTGTGTGTGCGTGCACCAGTATGTCTGTGTGTGTGTACGCAAGTGTGTCTGTCTGTGTGTCTGAGTCAGTATGCCTGTAATAGTGTGTCTTTCTGTGTGTGCGTGTGCCTGTCAGTGAGTGTCTGTTTAGGTGACTGCCCCCTCCCTTTCAATCACTTTTTTTTTTTATACCAGCCGTCACTTCCTCCCAGCAGCACTTGCGGTGTAGCCGCAATTTTTGTTAAAGTGGCCCGGTCACGTAATTACCCGACCGCAGCGCTGACCGGGCCCCTGAAGATATAGGGCCCATCGGGTGGCCCTAAATGCTTGGGCCACCTGATGGGCCCTGGTGCAGATGCACCTGCGGCAGTTTCGCCGCTCCGCGTGGGGCCCGAGCGGCCGGGCGGCCGGGTCCCCAGGGCCGCCGGGCCCGTGACAACCATCACGGTTGTCACCCCCTGATGGCGGCCCTGAGTAGGAGACTAATCTGAGCTGCTAAGACCCAGGCCCAATAGAACAACACATACAATGTAAGGTGGAGTGTCTTCTGGTTACAGATAAATTCAGGTAAATTCTAAAAGTAGAACAGATAATAACACTTGATAGTGCAATATTGTCTGAATAGTGGATATAGTAAGGATAAAATATATAGTAGCACACTCACAAAATTAGAGCCTGTTATACAAGGCTCAATTTTCCAGCGCTGTGGGATTAAGGATCACCACTTCCTTCTTTTAGCTTGCCAGGGGATGGAAAAAATCCAATGTCCTCTCACATATCGGTATAAAATGGTAAAAGTGCTTTAATAGTAAAGTGCACAAATAGAAATAAAAAAACAAGACCTTACAGTTTAAGGTAATCTTGTTAGAGTAGTCTCTAGCTGCAATACGCGTTTCGCCTCGTCTGGAGGCTTCCTCAGTTGCTCTGGTTGATTGTAGTTCATAATCTGTATTTATATCCAGTCTTTTGCGCCCTTTTTTTGCTCTCCTCTCCCTGTTCGCTGCATTTTCACTTCCGCGTTCCACCGGTGGAACGCATCAATCGAGTCACTTCCGGTTTCGGCTTTTGCGTTCCACAGGTGGAACGCATGCAATATTCTTCCGGTTTTCATGTTTTTAGATGTAAATAAATTGTGAAAAACAGTCCATATGGGTATAGGGAGGTGTAGGGAGCATAAAACTCCTAGTTCATTAATAAAAGAAACATAAGTATATAATAAGCATTCCCAACAATCAAATAGAGGGCATAGACATTCCAAACATGCAAATCTGACAAGTAACTGTCTAGAGAGAATCAGCATGTAAATCAGATGTAAATCAGCATTAAAAAGAGAAAGATAGGCAAGTGTTAAATAAAATGTAATAATAGGTATAACAATATAAAAGAATAAAAAAGGGGAGAAACCTATTAAGACCACATAAAAAAAGCTAAATGGTTTATGTATTAGTACCTTAAAACAATATAGTTTATGTATTAGTACCTTTAAACAATATGTAAAATTCTTAATTAAAAGTGGCAAACTTCGAAGTCTAAATTTAGCCCATAGGGGATAAGGGTTTTAAAAGTGTATATATATTTCATTTCTTCTTTACCTAATAGTTTAATATAATTACCCCCTCTCCAATCTCTCTTTACTTCTTGAATAGCACAGAAAAATAAATTCTCTGGGTTTTGGTTGTGGACATCTTTAAAATGTTGGGATACGCTGTGAGTCTCCAAGCCATTCCTAATGTTCCGTATGTGTTCAGCGATCCTAACTTTTAAAGGTCTAATAGTTCTCCCAACATAGAGTAACTTACAGGGACATTGTAGAATATATACAATGCCCTTAGAATGACACGTAAGGTGGTCTTTAATAATGAATGGTTTCTGGATGAGATCTTCTAAGTTTTCAAAGTGCCTTTTTGTTTGTTTGGTAATTCTGCATGGAAGACATGTGCCACAACCGTAAAATCCTTTAAGATCTTGAAGAAAGTGCTTAGGTTTTGTGGGGTTTAAATGACTTTTGACTAAAATATTTTTAAAATTCTTAGCTCCTCTATACGTGATTCTGGGTTTTGTTGGTAAGATTTTAAATAGGATTGGGTCATCTTTTAATAAATGCCAATGCTTATTTATAATTTTATGAACACGTCTATTTTGTCCATTAAAATCACAAATGAAGGGGACTTCATTGGTGTCCATCTGTATTGTCTTTGGTTTATATTGTATAAGTTGTTTTCTCTTTAATCTTCCAACTTCTTCTAAATCTTGGTTCAAAGATATTTCATTGTACCCCTTTTCCAAAAACTGCCGTTTAATATAAGTGGCCTGTTTTAAATAATCACTATCTAATTTGCAGTTCCGTCGAATCCTTAGAAATTGACTTCTTGGAGCATTGTGGAGCCAAGGTTTATGATGGCAGCTATTAGTATTTATGTAGTTGTTTGCATCAACTGGTTTAAAATAATTACTGGTAACTATCGTCGCATCTTCGATCCTGATGTTAAGATCTAAAAAATTAATGTTGGATGCACTATTGTTGCAAGTAAGATGAATTCCATAATCATTGGTATTTAACTGGGTAATAAATGATTGTAAGTCTTCTATGGTGCCAGTCCAAATAAAAAAGATATCGTCTATGAAGCGGCAATAGGACACCAAACTCGCCCCCCACACATGGTTTGATAATACCCATGTTTCTTCCCAAAATGCCATAAAGAGATTGGCATAACTCGGGGCGAATTTGGTGCCCATCGCCGTCCCACAGATTTGTAGATAAAACGTATTTTCGAACCAAAAATAATTATGGGATAAAATTAGTAAAATTCCTTCTAAAATATATTGAATCTGTTCTTCTTTAAAATTAGGATTTTCTTTATTATAAAAAATTTTTTTTAAACATAGTTTTCTTTTAAATAGATTCATATCTACAAAAAAGTTAAAAGGATTAAAATCTGCCGTAGGTGCAAATTTAAGACCTTTATTAAAAATATTTGCCTGTTCTAAGGTAAAAGATTGTTCTGTTAAATTAAAAATTCCTTCTAGATTGATGTCTTGCCTCTTTTCTCTCTGTGCTGGTCTCTTCTTTCTTCTCTGTCTCCTTCTTCCTCCAGCGACCTTTGTCTTTTCCCCTGTGATTCCCAGGGTTGGGCATTGTCTACCCACTTTCTCCTGTTTTGAATCAGGTCCCTCCGAAAAAAAGAAGGTGATGGTGGGGTATCTGGAGGGGAAGGGGTATTCTCATTTACTTTTCTTTGCCCTCTGAAGCCAATTCCCCAACACAGAGGACAAAGAAAAGTAAATGAGAATACCCCTTCCCCTCCAGATACCCCACCATCACCTTCTTTTTTTCGGATGGACCTGATTCAAAACAGGAGAAAGTGGGTAGACAATGCCCAACCCTGGGAATCACAGGGGAAAAGACAAAGGTCGCTGGAGGAAGAAGGAGACAGAGAAGAAAGAAGAGACCAGCACAGAGAGAAAAGAGGCAAGACATCAATCTAGAAGGAATTTTTAATTTAACAGAACAATCTTTTACCTTAGAACAGGCAAATATTTTTAATAAAGGTCTTAAATTTGCACCTACGGCAGATTTTAATCCTTTTAACTTTTTTGTAGATATGAATCTATTTAAAAGAAAACTATGTTTAAAAAATTTTTTTTATAATAAAGAAAATAAACTGCAAGAAGAACATGACAATGAATATTTTCATAGACAGCTTAGGCCAAAATCACAATTCTTCCCAAGACATCTAATTTCGGATGCTGTTCAAACTTTTGAAACTATGGTGATGAAGGATGTAGAGAAACTCAAGAGAACCAATAAATATAAACACAACTTATCAATAGGGGAAAAAAAAGCCTTAAACGTCATTAAAAATAATGATCAATTAGTAATCAAGCCCGCGGACAAGGGTGGAGGAACCGTTATTCTTGACAAAGAGGCATACATTAAGGAAGCAAATAGAATACTTTCAGATTCTTCAACTTACCAGAAACTGACATATAATCCCACTAATGCTACTATGGAGATTTTCAAACAGTATGTGGAAAAAGGAAAAACTTTAGGAATCCTTACTGAAAAGGAAGCAAATTACTTGTGGATAGATAACCCAAAAATACCGGTTTTTTACTTATTACCTAAAATCCATAAAAATATTACTAACCCCCCAGGAAGACCAATTATATCGGGGATAGACTCAATCTCCACTAGGATCTCTGAATATATCGATACCATTCTTCAGCCGATTGTGATAAAAAATCCAACATATCTTAAAGATACCATTCATATTTTACAAATTTTAGAAGAAACTAAATGGACAGAGGGCAATACATTAGTTACATGCGATGTCACTACAATGTATAGTATTATACCTCATGACAAGGGAATAGCAGCAGTAAAACATTTTTTAACCAAATCTAATTTTAAAGAAGAACAGATTCAATATATTTTAGAAGGAATTTTACTAATTTTATCCCATAATTATTTTTGGCTCGAAAATACGTTTTATCTACAAATCTGTGGGACGGCGATGGGCACCAAATTCGCCCCGAGTTATGCCAATCTCTTTATGGCATTTTGGGAAGAAACATGGGTATTATCAAACCATGTGTGGGGGGCGAGTTTGGTGTCCTATTGCCGCTTCATAGACGATATCTTTTTTATTTGGACTGGCACCATAGAAGACTTACAATCATTTATTACCCAGTTAAATACCAATGATTATGGAATTCATCTTACTTGCAACAATAGTGCATCCAACATTCATTTTTTAGATCTTAACATCAGGATCGAAGATGCGACGATAGTTACCAGTAATTATTTTAAACCAGTTGATGCAAACAGCTACATAAATACTAATAGCTGCCATCATAAACCTTGGCTCCACAATGCTCCAAGAAGTCAATTTCTAAGGATTCGACGGAACTGCAAATTAGATAGTGATTATTTAAAACAGGCCACTTATATTAAACGGCAGTTTTTGGAAAAGGGGTACAATGAAATATCTTTGAACCAAGATTTAGAAGAAGTTGGAAGATTAAAGAGAAAACAACTTATACAATATAAACCAAAGACAATACAGATGGACACCAATGAAGTCCCCTTCATTTGTGATTTTAATGGACAAAATAGACGTGTTCATAAAATTATAAATAAGCATTGGCATTTATTAAAAGATGACCCAATCCTATTTAAAATCTTACCTACAAAACCCAGAATCACGTATAGAGGAGCTAAGAATTTTAAAAATATTTTAGTCAAAAGTCATTTAAACCCCACAAAACCTAAGCACTTTCTTCAAGATCTTAAAGGATTTTACGGTTGTGGCACATGTCTTCCATGCAGAATTACCAAACAAACAAAAAGGCACTTTGAAAACTTAGAAGATCTCATCCAGAAACCATTCATTATTAAAGACCACCTTACGTGTCATTCTAAGGGCATTGTATATATTCTACAATGTCCCTGTAAGTTACTCTATGTTGGGAGAACTATTAGACCTTTAAAAGTTAGGATCGCTGAACACATACGGAACATTAGGAATGGCTTGGAGACTCACAGCGTATCCCAACATTTTAAAGATGTCCACAACCAAAACCCAGAGAATTTATTTTTCTGTGCTATTCAAGAAGTAAAGAGAGATTGGAGAGGGGGTAATTATATTAAACTATTAGGTAAAGAAGAAATGAAATATATATACACTTTTAAAACCCTTATCCCCTATGGGCTAAATTTAGACTTCGAAGTTTGCCACTTTTAATTAAGAATTTTACATATTGTTTAAAGGTACTAATACATAAACTATATTGTTTTAAGGTACTAATACATAAACCATTTAGCTTTTTTTATGTGGTCTTAATAGGTTTCTCCCCTTTTTTATTCTTTTATATTGTTATACCTATTATTACATTTTATTTAACACTTGCCTATCTTTCTCTTTTTAATGCTGATTTACATCTGATTTACATGCTGATTCTCTCTAGACAGTTACTTGTCAGATTTGCATGTTTGGAATGTCTATGCCCTCTATTTGATTGTTGGGAATGCTTATTATATACTTATGTTTCTTTTATTAATGAACTAGGAGTTTTATGCTCCCTACACCTCCCTATACCCATATGGACTGTTTTTCACAATTTATTTACATCTAAAAACATGAAAACCGGAAGAATATTGCATGCGTTCCACCTGTGGAACGCAAAAGCCGAAACCGGAAGTGACTCGATTGATGCGTTCCACCGGTGGAACGCGGAAGTGAAAATGCAGCGAACAGGGAGAGGAGAGCAAAAAAAGGGCGCAAAAGACTGGATATAAATACAGATTATGAACTACAATCAACCAGAGCAACTGAGGAAGCCTCCAGACGAGGCGAAACGCGTATTGCAGCTAGAGACTACTCTAACAAGATTACCTTAAACTGTAAGGTCTTGTTTTTTTATTTCTATTTGTGCACTTTACTATTAAAGCACTTTTACCATTTTATACCGATATGTGAGAGGACATTGGATTTTTTCCATCCCCTGGCAAGCTAAAAGAAGGAAGTGGTGATCCTTAATCCCACAGCGCTGGAAAATTGAGCCTTGTATAACAGGCTCTAATTTTGTGAGTGTGCTACTATATATTTTATCCTTACTATATCCACTATTCAGACAATATTGCACTATCAAGTGTTATTATCTGTTCTACTTTTAGAATTTACCTGAATTTATCTGTAACCAGAAGACACTCCACCTTACATTGTATGTATATCTAAACTTTATGTGAGGGTGAAGGGTACTCACTAAGGTGTTTTGAGTATCTTTTTGGATTACTCTTTTATGTACGTGTCCCACTGGAAAATACTGTATTTACTGTATCTATCCAATAGAACAACAAACAAAAAATAAATGGTATGAAAGAAAATCCTTGGTGATTGACAGAAAAAGAGCACTTGACGAATAAACAATTTATTCAAGTGTTTAATTCATGATTTCTCAATAGTAGCATACCATTTCTTTTTTTTTGGCTTCAGATTTTCATTGTGTCTGATTGTTTGTGTCTAAAAGTATTAAAATATAGTTTCAATTCTATTGTTATTATGAGTAAGCAAACCTCAGAATTAAAATATTCTGTGAAATAGACATACATCTATAAATTAGCTGGTGTACTGGTCGCTGCATAGTATAATTATTAATTTTACACTTTTTTTTTTTCATTTTCTTTAGATGTTCTATCTTAGATTCTGTGTAATCTATTTGTCAGTTTTGAATACACACATGTATCTTGAACACACACACATACACACATTCTCTTTCCCAAGCGTTTTCCCCTAACTCTGCAAGTAATGCAAAGGTAACAAACATAGTCTTGCTCACAGTATATGCTATTCATGTCAAATTAACCTGCTTTAAGCGTTTATGTGTCCCTGTCAAGTATTGGAAGTGAATAATGCTGCTTAGCAAGGTTGTATGGTCTTTCAATTGTGTTAAACCACACTCATGAAAATGACTGGCTGTGCTATTTTAGTACAAGTATCTTAATGCTTTTTTTAAATTGTAATTTTCCTGCGCTGCTATGTGTAAAGGTGACCGCTCGACAGTGGACCCTGGGCAGTATCTACTCGACAGCTAATCAGGTTGATTCATTTGGTGAGGTGGGCTACATGATCTGTGTGTTCTTTGAAAGGAGCACTGAGCTCTTCACTGACTGTACAATATGATATTGCACACTCTTTGCGATCTATAAAGGAAGAGTTAATATATACCTTTTCCTTTTACATCTTGACACTTTTTTATTGTTTACATAGATGTATGGATGCTTGACAGCACTTTACTTTTTGAAATGTATTTTAATGTTTTATTAAAACTGGAAAACTATGCTTGACGTTTCTAGTGTTCTAATGCTTTTATTTATTTATTTTTTAAATGCACTCATTAAAACTCATGAATTTAACATCTCAAATAAAAGTGCAGATCCACCAGAGCTTATACAAAACAATCTGTCAGGCTGATAATATACAGGTAGATAATTTAATATATCTATATAATATTATTTCTCCAGAACATTGCATTTTTTTTCATGATATACATAAATACATGATTTATGATATTTATTGGAAAATAACATGCATTCAGAACACCAAAATAGCGTTATTTTATCATAATACATACTTATCCATCATGTAAAGGGACACTGTAGTCACCAAAACAACTTTAGTGACTTACACAGACTTCCTAAACACTTCATGAAAGAGAGATCTCATGTTTAAACTTTCTTTATTGCACATTCTGTGTAATTTAGAAAGTCTTATCTTCTGCTCTAATAGCCTTCTAGACCCCGCAGGAGCCTCCTGTGTGTGATTAAAAGTTCAATTTACAGAGCAAGAGATAAATACTTCTGAAGCTTAACCCCTTAAGAAGGGCAGTCATCCTTGGTGACCTGACCTTGGTAAAAGCTGGCGGGCGGCATAGCACGTCCACACCGTCCTATTCACTTGGAAAAAATCAGAGTTAAGGGTCAGCACTAATTTGCCACAGGGAATTTTAATATAAAGGGTGTAGGAAACACACATATGGAGAGAGGGGTCCCCTCAAGATAAGTGTGATAAAAAAAAGATAAGAAGAAAAAGGGTGTGCCTTAAAAGAATAATATAATACGTAACAATACTTATTTTAAGTGAATAATATGATAACGTCCAAGTAACTCAACAATTGTCCAGAGAAAGGTAATCCACGGCAGTAGGGAGAGCTCTTTGTGGAACAACAGGTTAAGAATTGTTGACTTGCATGAAGCTGGAAAGGGTTATAAAAGTAACTCCAAAAGCCTTGCTGTTCATCAGTCCATGGTAAGACAAATTGTGTATAAATGGAGAAAGTTCAGCACTGCTGCTACTCTCCCTAGGAGTGGCCGTCCTGTAAAGATGACTGCAAGAGCACAGCACAGACTGCTCACTGAGGTGAAGAAGAATCCTAGAGTGTCAGCTAAAGACTTACAAAAGTCACTGGCAAATGCTAACATCCCTGTTAGCGAATCTACAATACGTAAAACACTAAACAAGAATGGATTTCATGGGAAGATACCACAGAGGAAGCCACTGCTGTCCAAACAAAACATTGCTGCACGTTTACAGTGTGCACAAGAGCACCTGGATATTCCACAGCAGTACTGGCAAAATATTCTGTGGACAGATGAAATAAAGTTGAGTTGTTTGGAAGAAACACACAACAATATGTGTGGTGAAAAAAAGGCACAGCACACCAACATCAAAACCTCATCCCAACTGTGAAGTATGGTGGTGGGGGCATCATGGTTTGGGGCTGCTTTGCTGCGTCAGGGCCTGGACGGATTGCTATCATCCAAGGAAAAATGAATTCCCAAGTTTATCAAGACATTTTGCAGGAGAACTTAAGGCCATCTGTCTACCAGCTGAAGCTCAACAGAAGATGGGTGTTGCAACAGGACAATGACCCAAAGCATAGAAGTAAATCAACAACAGAATGGCTTAAACAGAAGAAAATACGCCTTCTGAAGTGGCCCAGTCAGAGTCCTGACCTCAACCCGATTGAGATGCTGTGGCATGACCTCAAGAAAGCGATTCACACCAGACATCCCAAGAATATTGCTGAACTGAAACAGTTCTGTAAAGAGGAATGGTCAATAATTACTCCTGACCGTTGTGCACGTCTGATCTGCAACTACAGGAAACGTTTGGTTGAAGTTATTGCTGCCAAAGGAGGTTCAACCAGTTATTAAATCCAAGGGTTCACATACTTTTTCCACCTGCACTGTGAATATTTACATGGTGTGTTCAATAAAAACATGGCAACATTTCATTCTTTATGTGTTATTAGTTTAACCTCTTAAGGACACATGACGTGTGACATGTCATGATTCCCTTTTATTTCAGAGGTTTGGTCCTTAAGGTGTTAAGCAGACTGTGATTTTCTATTGTTGTGACTTAGATGATGATCAGATCACATTTTATGACCAATTTGTGCAGAAATCCATATCATTCCAAAGGGTTCACATACTTTTTCTTGCAACTGTATGTGACAGCAGAGTAGTCTAACTTGGAAATAGAGGAAATAAAATATAGTGCTAACTGTATCTCTATTTTAAAAAGATAAAAAGTATGAAATATACTCACAGTATATTGAGCAGGCTCACTGCTCGATGTATAGCATATGGGTGGTTCAATCCCCACCTTGGGATTCTATGTGCTTCTTATAGATGATAAAAACTACGATGTCAGGTCAGTATATTAAAATAGCGTAAAATAAAATAAAATTTAATAAAATAAGAAAGTGAAAAAAAAGGAATATGGCAACAGTATTGTATATAGCCAAAAATTCCCTTATTATCACAAAATATAAAAGGTTTCTAGACGTGTTTCACATTGAAGAAGCCTGTTGAGGCGAAACCCTTCTAGAAACCTTTTATATTTTCTGATAATAAAGGAATTTTTGGTTATATACAATACTGTTGCCATATTCCTTTTTTCCCTTTCTTATTTTATTCAATTTTATTTTATTTTCCTCTCTTCTCCCCTCATCTGGTCTAATGCTTCTCTTCACTGTGACTGAGCATGCGCTCTCTCTCTGTTGGTTATTGCAATCTAAATTTTGAAAGAAGGAAAAAAAAGCAAGGTCACTTTAGAGAGCAGAGAAAGCCTGATATATTATCCATTTTGTTTATCCATGTGTCCCAGTCTTCTGTTTGCTTATATCTGTTTCCTAAATTCACCAGAATACCCCTTTCCATTCTTGCTTTCCATATAATTTGTTTTATTAGTTCATTGGTGCATGGAATTAACCCTGTTTTCCAGTTTCGTGCTAAGAGTAATTTAGCTGCCGTGATTATGTGTAATATTAACACCAATGTTCTTTTTGTCATATTTAGCCAGTTCATGTACAGTAAGACCACTTCAGGCTTAAGAGGGAATCTTATTTCTGTTATTTGATAAATTATCTTAATTACTTCTTTCCAAAATTTGTGTATGGGTGTGCACTGTCATCAGATGTGGTTTAAATTGCCTTCATTAACATTGCATTTCCAGCTTATGTCTGATACCTCTGGGAAGATTTTCTTTAAGCGTTTCGGTGTTAGGTACCATCTATTT